GTGATCACTCACATGTTACTAGCTATACTATACATAAGTGTCGCACGTGTGATCGAATCCACGAGAAGAACACTTAAAAATTGTTCTAAAAATTCTTTGACTTTTTTACGTTTCTTATAAAACTAAGTATATTTAACATAATTGAAAAACATTTTTGTAAAATCATTTTCCACAAGAAGCGAGCTTTCGATACTTCACAGTATCATCATCAGACTAATATGGCTGTGAATTTAGACGAGATCTCTCTTCATTGCTTTCAATTGTTTCATCGTAACGTTCTAACGTGAATAATGGATTATTTAATGAATCATTTTTGGATGTCAAAATTTCACTTTGGAAATCACCAGAATTTCTGAGACTGACGACAAGTAAGTGAAAAAAGATGCTTTATTGGCTTTTTCGTCGAAAGAGAGACAATAAGTAACGTAAGTTTTAAGGACCATTCCGGGTTGAAAAACAAAAGATACGTAGATCAACATTGATCAACATTCAGTCTTAGTTTAATTCAAATTTTTGATGCCTGTTTATGTAGCATTCTTTTTTGTGATTCACGTTCTGCCCACACTATTTACCCTAAAAACTTTTTCGAGCGCTTCAATAACACCAAGTGGAGTTTCTCCTTTCGGTAAACCATCATTTTCCTTCCTTAACTTCATACTGTTTCGAATAATTCTCTTTCATGTAATCATTGACTTCTTTATGGAAACGTTCGTTTATTTGCGAAACTCTGAGAGTAAGTCAGAGAGGTAGAACGGCAAGTAAGAATAATCTATTTACTCTAAACGGATATCGAAGAATGGTTTGAATGAGATGTCGATCAAGTTGTTTTATAGCTTTATTCTGTCAGAATACAAGCGGAAGAATATTCCATTATAGTATTCTAAACTATCGAAAAACACAAAATCAATTTTTGTACGAATAGAGATTCGAACATGTGAACTTAGCTTTGTAGTAAACTGCAAAACTAAATTCACCGTTCTGTATCTATATTCTGTACAACGACTGAAGTTGTACAATCGACTCGATGTTATCAGTAGTAATTTTTTTGGTATGTTTTTTGTGAAGTCGATTTTTATGAAGTCGATCAAGTTGCCGAAACAGTTTCACACACGAGAAGAGGCTCAGAGAACGATGATGAAGAAAGTAGTAGTGAACAAGATGGTCAAGATTTAGATATGAGTTCACTTAATGATCGAATTCAACAAACGAATGAAATTCGTCAGAATGCGAGAGAAGGTCAGAAACGTCAAGCTGATCAATTTTTACAAAATACATTAAGATGATTTTGTATCTGTTGCAAAATCGTTGAAATAAAACAACAAAAAAGAAAATGTTTTTAAAACTGATGAGAAGCATGTCAGGGTTTCTGATAACCACAGACTAAATCAAAATAAAGAGTTATCTGCAATCGATACGAGTAATAAAAACGTGTTTGTGTGAATTTTGCCGCACGTTGTTTAACACCTATATGTTAACAACGCTATGCGACTGTCGGATTTATTATCATTTTAACGCTGAAGAAATGAAGGGAAATGGAATATTTGATACATATCACTTTGTGTTTTATTCGTTTGCGCAGAGAACTGCATCGAATGTTGTGTCTTTCAATACTGTTGGAGTAGAAAATTTGTAATCGTCGCGGTCCTCAAAAAACTCTCGACAAAAATAACATTTCAGAGGGTTTTTCATGCACTACTGTCTGCAATAACGTTAAACTACGGGTCTTCTAAGACCTTGTCGCACGATCATCGAGGATTCTTATTTACACATACACATTCTAAAATAAGTTCATATACAAAATACCAGCTCTTCAGCTAGAAATCAGAAAGATCGTTTCGGATTTTTCATTCTAGTACGATCATGATTTTATTTCTGGCGTTCCATTAGCTAACTGAATAGCTAACGCTGTATGCATGTACAATGTTATTTTAAGAATATTTTGAATATTGTTACTGCTGGAATTGATGTTCAGATGTTAAACATTATGTGGATTGATAAAACATTAGATGAGTATCAAAAAATCAGAAATTCGTATGGATTATCAAGCTACTTACACACACACACACACACTCAGCGTGACAATCAGTTCCGACCATTAACACAGGTGGAGTGATTCGATTTGCCTTTTTAGTTAACTTAACAATGAATTCTCGGTGCACTTTGTTAATTCAATTCTTTTAGTTTTCGTACTCGTGCTTTTTGCGCTCATTCTTTTAGTCCGTGGTCGTCAGGAGAAAAATTATGTTAACGGCACTCGCAAAAAAACTGCTGAAACGAACTACCGCTGTAGAATCTGTAGCAGCTTAGGGACTTGGCTAATATGAAACAAAAAAAGAGTTAAGAAGTGATGGTGGACCCTAAGCAGAATAGTGACGAGTTCTTATTCAGTCCTATTGTAATCGGTATGTAAAATAACCTATAAAAGGAGTTACCTTGTGTTTTCTGAACAAAAAGGATTTTTCAGAAATCCAGTTCTCTGAAAAACCTTCTGGAATCTTCTGAAAGCATTTTCTGTTATTAGATTTGAAATCAGGATACTCGAGAACCTATGAACAATTATTTCCTCGGGGAAATATGCATTTTTTAAAACTTTCTGGTCTCGGGAAACCCAGTTTGACGGATTTTTGAGCTCTGAAAAGTGTTCCATTGGAAAGAGCACATTAAAAAATCTGTAAAAAGAGTGTCTTGAGTTAGAGATGTTAGAAAGCAAATACGGCTCGTAATATGATCCACAGGTCGAAATACGATCGTAATAGATAATACATACTGCCTGACGTCCGCAATACACAATGCATAATACATAATAGACAATACATAATACATGGTACACAATACATAATACATAATACACAATGCATAATACGCAGCGTGAACGTATCGTGATTCCTAGGAATTATGAATAATATGAGCATTGTGGGATTCATGAAACAATGAAAATTTTGATAATTTTGATAATTATTTAAAATCATAGCATGGATACAAGAACCGTTTTATCTAAGTTTTTTGTTATTCAATTTTCTGGGGTTCTTGGGTTTTTCCTCATCACTGTATGAGGTGGGGCGAGGATAGCATGAGAGTAAGCTACTTCGTAATAACGGGTGTAACAGAAATAAACGCACTTTTTTATTTTTGCTATAACTTCGTGTTTTATCCGATCAACTTAATTTTTTTTTATTAGATTTGCCTTGAAATTCTCTACAAAAATATGTATCGACCTTTTGTAGATATTTTAAAAGTGTCTGATTGCAACATGAAAAGTAAAGACTTGCAAAAACTTGTACTTCATAAACGGGAAAATGGCTATACCTCAGCACAGATATTTCGTGATTTAAAGGGAGGTATTTCAAGGAGGCAAGTTTATCAATGGTGCAAAATGATCAGCAAAACAGGGCAAATTCAGCTGGTATATCCTCCAGGTCGTCCACGTAATGCTCGAACAAAAACAACGATTCAAAAAGTAAAAAATCGTCTGAAACGTAAAAAACGACTGTCAACAAGAAAACTGGCTGCGGAATTGACTATTTCTTACATGTCGGTACATCGAATACTCAGAAATGACCTAGGATTGAAGCCCTACAAGAAACGTATTGAACCAGCACTCACGGATCTTCAAAAAATTAAGAGAGTTAAATTTTCAAACTGGGTTTTGAACAATTTCAAAAAAGAACAAACTTCTCGAATTCTGTTTTCGGACGAAAAATATTTCGACTTGAATGGCATGTACAATCGCCAAAATGACAGAGTGTGGGCTGTGGATCGTGCGGAAGCCGACAAGAATGGTGGAATCAAGCAAAAACAAAATTTTCCAACAAAAGTTATGGTTTGGTT